ATTCTATTCATTAACAGAATGTAACTATATATCTATCCCAACCACTTTGAATACACAGATACAAAATGGACATTCATCTGTATACCCCATTTTTTCTAAGATGTCATTCCTACTTTACAAATGAGAAAACTGGGTCTTAGAGCAAGCATAGGACTTGCCTATAGCTATGTAAAAACTTAGTGCTCTAGATGGATCTATTTCTATCTGAAGACTCTTTCAGAACAGCACATATCTCATTCCAAGGATATTTTGGTCAAGAGGAAGGGATGGGGCCCAATGTCAGAGAAAGTAAACTATTGTCTTGCAGGTCTTTTTTAGAGTAGAGACTATCTCCTGACTCCAAACAGTCAGCTACATCCCCACTCCTTTTTACTTTGAGATAGAGTCTCACTAAGTTGCCTATGTTGGTCTTGAATTTGCAAATCTCTTGGCTTTGCCTCCTAGATAGCTGAGAGTATAGATATGTGCCATACCACACCTAGATTTTAATAGAATTTTGAAGGCAGATATGCAGAGCCTACATTGAACTTTCTACCACATAAAGTTACTATGTGGGACAAGATGCAAACTGCTTTACAGATTATTTGTATGAGGAAGATCATAAAAGCCAGAGAAGTTCCAATAGTGGGATGAAGCAAGAAATGACAGAAGAATGAAGACCTTGATTCAGATGAGAAAGAAAACAATAACATAAATATCTGATTAATCAATATACTACCAAAATGGTCATGTTCTAGCTAGGTCAGAAAATGTTATTAGGTTCTTGCCAGACTGAAACCTATTTGATGGAATGCCCCTACTGTACTTCAGTGTTGGAAATTATTTTTAATAGATGAATTGGGACTAGAATTGATAGAAGACCAATTACAACAAAGGAAAAATAATGTGAATCTGCCCAAAGAACTCCTCAAACGAATTTTGGGGTAGACCATTGAAGAGATAGGTAAAACATCACGAGAACCTCCTAACAAAATAACAAGACCAGGAAGATGTCAAGTATGTCTTACAGAAAAAGGAAAACAATCACTGTAAGCTATACTTGTGCAAAGAAATGCTGTTTTTATGGGTGAAAAAAACATCTTAGATGCAACAACTGTAGTTTTGTTATAGTTTTATTTTCATTGGAGTTCATATAGGAATTTATGCTATCACTTTTTTAGATTTTGTAAACAAAAAATTGATGCCAAAATGTTTATTATAAAAACTATTATTAATGTAATACTTGATTTTATTTTCCTAGTATTTAAGAATGCTTAGCAAGGTTATCCTTTTTTCACTTTTCGTATATCATGTAAGAAATGTAGAGCAGGTCACATAGTCATAGGAAGGCCAAGAGGAAAGTCCAATCACTAACAATGTGGCCAAGAGACAGAGAGAGGCAGAGACAGAGACAAAGGATTGAGATTCAGTCACTTCAGGACCCAGCGGGGCCTAGCTTTCCAGTGTGACCCATGAGGTACAAGACATGTGAGTGATGATTCTGGATATTTTATTATTATTATTATTATTATTAT